GGGGACTCCGGTGGTGACTGTACTGTATATTTCCATGATAAGAGTTCCCATTCTGTGGAGGACTTCAAAGCAGCAGAGCAGCCATCCATATGGAGGAGGTGGGTGGGGTTCTGGGTGGTGCAGATGAAAGCCCACCACGTGAACACCATTTAATCTCCCATCACTGGGGAAATGTGATGTTCTCCTCCTCTGAGTGACTGTTCCGTACATGCTCCAGAACATGACCGCTGTGTTCTGCTGATTTGTGGGATGGTGATGCAACAAACCACTTGACTTCTGTTGTCAGGCTAATCAACCACAGGACGTGGCTCTGGGGTAAACGTCTGGAAACGCTGTACGAGATCAGAAACGCTTGGTTTGAACACATTACACAGTAAGTGAAGGTCAGAAGATCGTCTGAAAAACACAAAAAAAAAAAAAAAAAAAAAAAAACCTCTTGGTTAAATCATGATTCCTGTTCCTATCCTTTCCTACAAAACTCTCAGTTTCTCCAGGAAGTTTTCTAAGACGCTGAGAACATAATGACGTTCTTGACATTTTAATATTTCTCCAGGATTCAGAGGAGCTCATGGTGAGAGCCAGAGTTAAAAATGAGGAACAGGATTAGGTCGAGTGAAAAGGAGAACCACGATGTGCTAATATTTTAACTTGAAGAATTTGTTGAAGACCAGACCAGTGTTTGATGCTCAATACAAAATTAAACAAACAAACAAACAAACAAAAAAAAATATATAACACATGCATGGATTAGTGTCAGTCTCTTATTAGTTTCTGGGTCAACTAATATCTGCAGCGTGACAACAAACTGCCACATGATGCCAAAAAAAAAGAAAAAAAAAAAGGTCAAAAATGAAACAATGAAATTACAGCCAGAATCATCACAGGAGCAGTGACTGCGTCGAATGAAAAATAAATGAAGACAAATGTTAAACCTAAACAGGACGTGCGGAAAAACAGATGAACCAACGACTTATGACAAACTGCAGCCTTTGAGATTTAAACTTAGCGTTTTATCACATTTAGTGTTTTATTGTGAAACATATAAAGTGTTCCTGTTCAGCCTGTTCATGGTCAATGTTTGTTTACTTGTACGTCCACTGTGTCTCTGAGCGGGTCAGTCCACCTCAGCTGATTGGACACGCTGGATTCCTGCATCACATGCTTTGACGCCGCAGTTCAGTTTCAGTTTGTCCCACTCCACACAGACAGATGTGTGTGTGGGTTCAGTGGGTCCAGTAGTGTATATATTTGGTACCAGTGCTCCAGGACAAGCGAGCTCTCCTTCTGCCACCTTGTGCCCAGCACGGCGGCCGCATCTCAGTGAAGAAATACGGTGAACTAAATGAGTTAGCGATAAGCGAATGGCACGGCGTGTACTTTTTACAAGCTAACACGGCTAAGAGCGTGCCATAAAACACCGGGGGGGCGGGAGGGGCAGGAGAGGAAGAGTAATTGAGGTCTAATGGTCAACGAACGGCTCCATTAAAAAACAATTCCACCGGAGCGTGGAGGAAGACTTTGTATCAATCAAGACCGTCTGTCCTGGACCAAGGTCACAGTTTACTCCATGTGCAAATGATTTTTTTTCTCCTACACCCATGTGCAGTGCACATCACATTGGTTTAATTAATAGCAGGGGTCACCTGAAACAGCCGTAATTAATTCACTGACGAAGGAAGGTGTGCAACGTTGGCTTTTATCACCGGGGGTTTTAGTGGCGATGAAAATATGCAATAAAACCTGGAATCTGAAACACGGTCGTGAACCTGAACCTTCTTTTATCAGGTCAGGCTTCATTTCCTGTGTTGAATGTATGACATCGTTTAAACAGTCAGAGAGAACACTGCTGGTACTGGGACCAGCTGAAGAACCAGTAGGACAGCAGAGGATTTCATCACTTGGTTTGAAACTTTTTAAATGCTAAAAAGTGCAGGTTTGGAAATGGAATTATAATTCTGTCCCCGTCTTATAAATGATGGGAACAGGTGGTCGCACTGTTCCTAATTTACTGCTGCTTAAAGGTTGGAGAAAGATGATGAACATTTAACTGTGGCGTCGACTTTTGTACTTGAACTTAAACTTTTTTAAAATAAAAATGATTTATTTTACATTTTATATGTTGAATTATCTATTAAAGATTCTTTTTTTAAATTAGGGGAAAGGCAGGTCAACAAATCAGTGAGGAACCACCGACAGGTACTGAGTCTTGGAAGGACGCTCCACATACTCCAACAGCCGAACCATAAAACCAACCC